TCATGGCTTTATACGTAGCAGCTGCCATGCATGACTATGATCACCCCGGTCGTACAAATGCTTTTCTAGTGGCTACAAATGCACCTCAGGTAATAAACTGTTTTAAACAGGAAATTGCCTCTATCTAGAATCAGGAAGTAGTGAAGATTCTTTTCTTCCCTGTCCCTGTTCTTCCCTGCTTAGGGAACATTTGCCCAATTTAAGACACGGGGAAAATAATTTGCATTTACTTGTATAATACTTTTCGTCCTGACAAATTTTGAAGTGTCTGTGTGTTTTGGTTGTGTAGAGGCGTAGAAATCATTTTCAGTTTTACAAAATTGAGAACAATAACATATATCAATGCAAGTAAATATTTCAAGGAGAGTTGGCTTTAGGACTAAGGGGATAATGTGGAGCTATTTTACAATAAATTCCTTTTAAGGAAAAAAGAAAAATACCTTTGCTTACTGCCTTTTACCATTTCCTCCTATCTACCATTTTTGGTTCATTTTAGTGCTTAAAACTAGAAGGCAAAACATCATTCCTGGTACAGCCTCATTAAAAATAAATAAATAGTCATACTGCTGACTAGCCCTTATGCTTCAGAATATTTAATTACAATTTCAAAGCTTAACTTTGATACTTTGGATTCTCTCCTTTTGTAGGCCGTTCTATACAATGACAGATCAGTCTTAGAAAATCATCACGCTGCTTCTGCCTGGAATCTTTTCTTATCACGACCAGAATACAACTTCTTATCAAATCTTGATCACGTAGAATTCAAGCGATTCCGGTTTTTAGTGATTGAGGCAATCCTTGCCACAGATCTCAAGAAGCATTTTGATTTCCTTGCTGAATTTAATGCCAAGGTTTGTTACTTTTTAGTATCTTCACTGAGCTGGTCATGCTATATTGATGTTAGTATTGCTGCTCAACAGTTGTTGCTATTGATAATTGGCATTTGAAATTTTAGATTATTTAAACTTACTGTAACTCATCTCCCCCCCACACCACAAGTAAATTGTGTTTTTAATTAAAATTGATGTAATTAGCTTGTGCAAGATAACTAATGTGCTCTAAAGTACTAGCATAGACTTAGACCTTGATTCTTAATGCCTTTAATTCTAATATACTTAATTTCTAAAAAAAAAAAAAAAAAAAAAAAAAAAAAGTCATCAGAGATATTTGTAGTCATACTTAATCAGTTGAATTCAGTTGCTGAACCAGAGGCATTCCCATGGGGCTGGTAGATGTGACAGGAAACTGTAGCACCTACTTCTGTAGGGAGGAGAAAGTTGGCTCATTTCCTGATCCATAAATGTCAGTTTCCTTAAATCCTTAGAAACTCCAGTGAGATTATCTGATCTTAATAATATCTCGTGTTTCCATACCCTGAAAGATCAAAAATGGCTTTTTAAAATATGTAAATCAGAAAATGATATGGAAAAAAAAGATGAATGTGAGGTCTGTTGGTGCAGATGAATAGCTTGAATTTAATTTTTAAAACGTATGTGTCCAAACCAGGCCAACGATATCAATAGTCCCGGTATAGAATGGAGCAACGAAAACGACCGCCTGCTGGTGTGTCAAATCTGCATCAAGCTGGCAGACATCAACGGCCCGGCCAAGGCGCGGGAGCTGCACCTCGGCTGGACGGACGGCATCGTCAGTGAGTTCTACGAGCAGGTAGCTCCGGGGCGCCCGCCGCGCTGCCTCTCCTCCCCGGGAGGCAGCTGCTCCCTCCTTGCTTCACCAGACGTGTAGCTAAGTACTGCAGTGTTGTTCCCTCTGCTCTTGTCTTCAGGTCAAGTATTTTTGTTGCCACCAACATTGTCCATTTTTCAGATATTAGTTTGTTTTTCTTTGTTTTCCCATTTGGCCTGATACTGGGAAAAGCCTTCTTTGGGAAGGTGTTTTCGCTAGAATCATCCTAGGTTAAGGAACGTGTATGGAAACCACTGGGAACATGTACTTAACTAACCCTTAGAACAAAGCAGATACGGAATTTTCAAAAACAAATATTAAAAATATATACCTGTAAAATTTTTTTTCTGGTGGAACTTTGGTAAATAATTATCTCTTATCACCATTAATGGGAAAAGGTGTGAAGAATTGTCCATTTTTACATCTGCAATTTCTGTAACCATTCCAAAATGTGTATCAGAACACTTTTACTATCGGTGTTATTTTTCTGTATTTGGTCAACTTTGAAGAATTAACTGCTAGATGCAATAAGTTGGGATTGGGTTGAAAAATGTTCTTCAAACTAGAAAAATACAAAAAATACAAAAATCCTTGGGGGATTTAAACAGGTGAAATAATCTGAAGTGCAAGACCTTAGTACTTGAAGAGGTGCAAGCTCAACTGCATCTGTCATTTAGTCCGGCTGTTACTGCCTCTGTTAAAAAGATACAATCTACGTGATAGTTGGTCCTTAAAATTATTTCAAAAATTAGAAATTTAAGTTAATTTTGTGGAAAGCTCTGTACTTTATTTTTTCTCTTCTGCAGGGAGATGAAGAAGCAAGTCTTGGACTGCCTATAAGTCCCTTCATGGATCGCTCTTCTCCACAACTTGCAAAACTGCAAGAATCTTTTATTACTCACATAGTTGGTCCCCTTTGTAATTCCTATAATGCAGCCGGGTTGCTTCCAGGCCAGTGGATCGATGAAGCGGAGGATGCAGAAAGTGCTGAGGACGAGGATGGAGCACAGTTGGAGAGTGATGAGGAAGAAATAGAAGATGATCTCATTTTAAGTAAGAGTCTATGGGCTTCCTATAATAGATCCAGACATTGAAACAATGGTTGAAATTGTAAAGTTTAAATATTGTTTGTTTTGAGATTAGGCTTCTTCATAAACAAATTACACTTACCAGATTTTTGTTAATAACAGGAGACTTGCAATTTAAGGTAGAAACTTGTACTTTATCATGTCAACATTTAAATACTGTGATGGAGAATCCGTCTTTTATTGGCTGTTTTTCGCTCAAAGCTGTCTCTTTCACAGAGTAGCCTTGGCCTTTTTATGTCTGAAATGTAATTGCTCCCTTTTGCAACTCAGGCTGACAAATATAATGTTTACAATTTTACAGAAGCCGAAAGGAGAAAGGGCAGACGACGAATATTTTGCCAGCTAATGCACCATCTAAGTGAAAACCACAAAATATGGAAGAAAATAATTGAAGAGGAGGAAAAAAATAAAGCCGAAGGAGCTAAACTGCTTCCCGAGATCACATCCTTACCTCAAGCAGATGAAATTCAGGTTATTGAGGAAGCAGATGAGGAAGAAGAGCGACAGTTAGGAGAAGAAAAGACAGGTTGAGCGAACTGGAGTGTTGTTCAGTATGACCATAGGAAGCCTCTACTCTTTTTTTTCACTGTGCTGACTTTGGACTGACAGTTTGCATAACGCTGAAAGGCCTTAATACTGTGAGAGGATTCCCCGTACTGCAGTGGAATCCCCCTCCTATGCACTTTCACCACACAGAATATGAAACTTTATTCTAAGGTTTTGAGTATTGTATACCATGATGCAAAGTCCTTTATGCCTTACTGGTATAAAATATCCTGTATAATGCTGCCTTGATGAATACGGAACTCTCATTTTCCTTGAGGTACCTGCAATTTTTAAAAACATTCAGTGACTTCAGTTACCAAAGTGGCAAGAACTCTTTGCTAACATGGAAATGTTGGGTGAATCCTCACAATGTGTTGAGTTGTGCGTTTCATGTTGTTTTTGAACATGAATAAGAAGTCGGTGCATGTCTGGAAGGCGCGTTGCCGTTGCAGTGTCGCTCTGCTGTGGGGTGTCTACGTAGCGCAGCCGGGTGCTTAACGTAGCCGCCTCGGGGCTGCTGCGCAAGGACTGCGACGTGAATGCTCAGTTCTGGTATTTGTGTTTGGAAAGGAAAAAGTCCAGGTGCATCTATTCTGATGCTTTTTATTATTGCGCATAATCTGATGTTTTATTTTTGCAGAAAATATTCAGGTTTGCAGTGGGTGTTCATAAATCATTGAATACAAGGCCATTAGGAGCTGTTGCCTTGCTGTTCTGTGGTAGAACATTAAGAATTTGTTCAGCTACTTAAATTAAGGGATTTTAGTCTTTTAGTCTTAATGCTATAATTTTTGCCCTTACTCAGGTTCCTGTTTAAAAGCAAGACAACCACATAATAGATCTCATTTTACATCAATTTTAGGTGTTAATTTTTGACGGAATAAGATCATATTTCATTTATTCTTTCTATGTAAAACTTTAGGAGTATTAAAGAGTTGTTTTTTAAACAAAGAGACAAATTCCTGTTTCCAGATGACTAGTGTATTTTGCGTCCCACCTCTTTTCTTCCGTCACAGACGTAGCGTGTGTTGCCTTCGAGGTAGATGGACATGCCAAAATACACGCAGGGCGAGCAGGATGCCACAGCTGCGTGCAAGGCCTAGGGCTAGCATAAACATTGCTGAGTTTGTAAGTAACTTAGACAACCCACAAAAAGGTATTTTAGGAATACTACCACTGTAAGGCTAATTGCAAAAATAAAAAATAAAAGTGCATAAATTAAGCTGCAAGTATGTAGTCAGCGTATACAAGCTGCAAATAGAACTGTTTTTAAAAGTGCACTTTTTAATAGTGAACATTTATATGCTGTGCAGTTGATGTAAATAAAAACCAATGCACACGTGTGCAAGTTGCTAAATGTATGTTAGCATATTTGTGTTTACATTTATGTCAGTTGACTTGAAAAAGGGGTAACATGCTGAAGATAACTCTGTGCATATTGTATTGCACTGGCTTGCATCATTCACATTTTATTCTGCTCTTCATTGGCCAGTTTAATCACCGAGAAGGAATTATTTTATTTTCCACTAATCAGCTGCTCCTCTTGGATCCACTTAGAAGATCCCTGAGAGAGGCCTTGCTATTTTATACGATCGGTGAGAAATCCCCTTTTGCTGCCCTTATTGCTATCACTGCCTTTTTTGTAACACACAACTAGTGTTAAAACCAGGCATTTCTCTTGCTAATAAAATCCTGAAACTGGCACCTATCAATCAGTCACTTGTACTTACATTTCATTTAGCTGCTGGATTGCTCGAAGACAGCAGAGATTATGCTCATTTGAATACACTCTTTTCTCAGCATTTCATGTTTAGCTTACCTGCTGTTATGTGAGAACACACTTTTAATACCATTTAGTTGCGTTCCTGCTTGGATAAAAGGATGCAAGTGCTCTTGCCTAAACTTACTGTGATAATGTTTTAATGACAATTTCCATTCTTCTCTGTTTAAAAGAATGGTTATTAAAAAGTATTATAATAAGAAAAAAAGGTATAAATAGCAATATATCTGTTACTAAAAAATTAGCAACATTTATATCTGGCGACAGCATTGCCAGCAACTCTCTGATTTCATGTTTCCCTTATACTGTAGACATACAGAAACAATATTTAAATGGTAAAACAAGGAGCTAACCTCAGTGTTTAATAAGCCATGCTACTAGGATGTAATTCCAGTGAGATGTTTTCAAGATGTAATTACTTTGAAGATCTGTTTAACAGTGAATCAATCCAAAATACACCTTGTTGTTTATGTATACATAATATGTGACTATTATTCTTGGAGCAAGGGGGGAAAAAAAGGTATAAACATCCTCAAAGGGCAGCTCGGGACCCGCTTGCAGCAGCAGCGGTGCCTCCAACTGAAGGCGTCTCGGTCACTCGAGGAGGCTTCCAGCGAGGGTGACGGGGCTGCTGACCAGGAGAGCATGGCCCCAGGTAAGGCCTCCATCCATATCCTCACTTCTGCTAACGGTAACTACAGCAAACTTGCATTCATCCTCTCACCTTGATTCGCAGCTACCGAAGGATGCTGTGGAACAAGGAAAAGCACCCTGGAGAACACCTATAAGCCTTTAAAGTCCTTCCCAAAGCCACTTGCTTTGCTGAGATGAGGGCTGATCAGCCTGCACTGAAGTTGGTGCCGCTCCGGCAGACGTGCCTTCTTGGGGTGACATCGGCTGTTTGAAGCGATGTCCTCAGCCCCCTGCCTCGCAAGGCAGCTCCCTCTCCTCACCGCCTTCCTGCGCGCTGCCAAGTTTGGTTCCTGCAAGGGCCTCGTATTCTCTGTGCCTTCTGCAGGCTTCTGAATGGGATGGTGCTGCTCTGCACAGTGAGGAGGAGGAGTCACCTGGATCCTCTTCACGTGGGTCCTTCCCGCTCAGCCAAGCCGGATGGTGAGCCTAAGGTTCAAAGTGGACGGGCTGATGCAACGTTACTTGAGGTAAGTCCAAATTAACAAGGTTTCAATAAGAAGCCTTCTATGATTTGCTGTATACGTAGAACCAATTTGTGTCTCAGCTCCTTGCACTGAATTTTTAGTCTTCTGGCAAAAGGAATCACTGTTTTTGGAGAGTTCCATGAGGTGACAGTTATAACCAGTACTTGAGAGTTCCTCACGCACTTCCAGCGTCCCCTCCCTCCTCCAGGGACAGGCGAGCAGCGTGTCCCCATGCGCCTGTGGCCGCCGGCCGCCACGCGCTCCCCGTGGCTGCGGGGTTGGCAAGCGGCTCTGCCCAGCCCAGGGCACCGGCCGTCCTGACGGGCACACGGGATGTAGCCTGGCCTGGCGCCAGGGCCTGCGGGCAGGACTGGCCCAAAAACTCGTGGAAAGCCCAAAGGGTGTCTCTGCCAGGAACCCGTGGGGAGGATTTACTGCCCACGGAGGAAACTGGCCTGGGGGGAAGAGGAGGGATTTGAGTGCGGCGGGTGAGAGCTGGGCGGGAGGAGGAGGCACCGTGTCCCCACACACAGCACCCAACGCGGCCCGCGCCGCCTCCCTTGGTGTCTTCCTTGGTGTTGGTGTGGGCGGGAAGACTGCTGCCGAGTAAGGAAAATAAAAGGAAGCTGAAACTGCTTGTGTTAATCCTTGCTTTACAGCAAAGAAGTTAGAGAAAATAATTCTAAACTACAAGATATTCTTTCTGGAAAAAAAAAAGGCTTCCCCATTAAAGCTCTCAAGGAATTTATAAATATGATGAGAATAATGAATATAATTCAAATTGATCTGCTTCTATCAAACTCGTTTCATGGATGGTTTTAGAAAATGAAGTTTTACAGTGGCAGTAACAAGTTGTGGGCTAAGTTTGAGAAAATTGATCTGTGTGGTCAGGAAAAATGAGAAGATCATGCATTTACTAAATGTAAAGAAAGTAAGTTGATTAAATGAGTTATAAACAGCATAATTAAGGCAGTGCCCTTTCTCCTGTGCCTTTCTTCGGGATGTCTCTGGACAGCTTGCTTCTTGTCTGTGTTAAGCCAAGTGAGGCACTCGGTGTTGTTTGCAGTGCAGAGTTTTGCTCTTGCTCTCTCCTGAAGTGAGCCCTCGCTTTAAGGATCATGGCGAGACTTCTCAAGGCAAATAGCACAGCTGTCACCTCTTTTCTGTTTAATCTTAATTTAATGGAGCCGTGGGCAATTATGTCTCATGTCTTCTGCTAAATGAGAAAGCATAATGGATTGTCTTGCAAAGATGACAGGGACACAGTTCTAGCGGAGCAATCTCTCTCAGTGTTTTTGTTCTCCCCTGTTGCTCTTATTTCTCTAGAACATTTCAATCTCAAGTTTGAACTAATATTCTGGTTAGTCCTGCTTCTGTTGTTTTTAATACTCTAGAGTAACTAGCAATTATTTGTATTCTTACTAATAGCATTCAGCTAAAGAAAATGGTCCCAGAAGGAAAAAAAAAAAAGAGTTTTCCTTTGGTACTGAGATTAAAACGTCTGACCAGAAGTTGGCTGGCCTTAAACACTGTCAGCGCTGCGACACGTCCGTAGCGCTGAGCGACAGACAGGGACGCACCCGCGGGCCTGGCCCTGCG